GTAAGCAGTGCTGATTCGCATCTCAAATAATGTTGTAGTGAACGAAATTCCTCTCCTAGTAAAGTGTCTTCCGAGGCAGATTCAGGTTTGTACTTATCTTGAAGTGCCCTCTCTTCCCTTGAACGTACTGAGGAGGAGTCTGCCTGTTCTTAAATTTACTTTCTTTATCAAGGCACATGCGTGATGGGAAACCCAATGAATCCGTCCTTGATGTGCGCAAACCAGTTTTTAAAGTCGTAATCTTGTAGCAGTCTGCTGGAAATTCCCAAGACCTGTGCTACTAGCGCTAGCTAGTGAGGACAGTACAGATAGTCGTCATTACATAGTCCAAATCCTAAATTGAGAAACCCATAGGACACGTTACACGATGAAAGTTCTTCTCTTGCGCTAATGCTGTTTATTCGTCCCTATTCTACAGGATGTGCTTTGCCGTTTGGAACACACAACCTTGCGTAAGGTCACTGCCAACACAGCCATTTACTACGATCCAGACCCCCAGAACACAGTAGTGGCGGAGGATCAGGACTTTGTGAACGTTTACTATGAAATGCCCGACTTTGACGTAACTCGCATATCGCCTTGGCTTCTTCGCATAGAACTCGATCGTAAGCGAATGACAGACAAGAAGCTCACCATGGAGCAGATCTCGGAAAAAATCAACTTGGGTTTTGGTGACGATCTGAACTGTATCTTCAATGATGACAACGCAGAGAAACTGGTGCTGCGTATCAGAATTATGAACAATGATGATGGGAAATTCCAGGACGTAAGTTACCAGTAGATTGCACTGAGACTTCAACTTAAGTTCTCAAACTCATTAATAGTTCATCAAGTTTAAACAAAGGAAATCGTGACCTTGACGGTGTTTAGATATCTGATCTTAATTAGCATACATTTTTTATGATTTTAACTCTCCTTTAGTTTTAGTTTCGATTGAGAAGACATNAGTCAGATAGAATCGGAATACCTATGGTGTATGGTTGGAGTCCTGTGGCCGAATAGGTTGTCTCGTACACAAATGAATCAGTTTTGTAAAATTCGTTTCCTTGTATTTCAAAGATCGCCAAGCAGATAAATCCACATATTGTTCCCATTTTCATCTAAAAGTTTTCAAGCGAGGCCGTTTCATTTTCAGTGAACAATCTTAGTATACTATCAGTCTTACTGAAAATCAACCAGTTTGGACAATGTCGGAAATTCTGTAGTCTGTCCAGACCCACTGTTTTGTCTTGAGTTCGTCGCGATCGCAAACTTAGCGAAATATTAGCCCGGCGGGTGGGATACTCACGCTGAACTACAAGGGGCGGGGGGAGGGTCTGAGGACAGACAAAAATATTTATACCTTTGAACTTGTCATCCTCACAGGAAGAAGAACAGTTGGACAAGATGGATGATGACGTATTTTTACGTTGCATTGAAGCCAACATGCTGACTGACATGACCCTACAGGGGATTGAAGCTATCTCCAAGGTGTACATGAACCTACCGAATGAAGATAACAAGAAGCGTGTCACCATCACCGAGGAGGGCGAGTTTAAACATATCTCTGAGTGGATTCTGGAAACTGATGGTGTGTCGCTTATGAGGGTCAGTACCAGTGTCATCTTATTTGGTTTATATATATCATGGTTGCCACAGTTCAGAAAATGGTCCGGAAAAGAAGTTCTTCAAGGTCATGGAAAAGTCAGGGAATTTTATGTTGAGTCAGGGAAAAAATTCACATTTTGAAGAAAAGTCAGGGAAAATTGAAAAACTCACACGGCTAATTTAAAACCATTGAGGGCTGGAAGATGCGTTTGGGGTGACTGTGATCCCAACGATGTTTTTACGTAATGACGGAGGAAAATCGGTTGATGAATGAGTGGAAAGGATGGCTGTAAGGGGAGGTTACAACCTTCTATTATATCTGAGATTTTGGATATGTTTGGTCAGGGAATTTTTATTTTTATCAGGGAACAGTCAGGAAGTTTCGAAAAGAGATGTCTATGGCAACCTTGTTATAATTCAGTCGTTTAAAGTGTTTTTTTTTTTAGATAGATAGTTCGCTTAGGATGTTCTCTTACGTTGGCTTTTGTTCTTGCAGGTTCTAAGCGAAAACGATGTTGATCCAGTGCGTACGACATCAAATGACATTTGTGAAATATTCTCTGTAAGTGAAGATGTTCAATTGTTAACAAACTTAGCGAGGCCATTACTGTTTAAAGTAAATCCTCCACCCCACTGCTACAGTATGTGAATTTTCTCTCGATAGTCCCGAGTTCAACTCCTGCACAGCGCAACTGGTCAGCCTCCCACCAACATCACCATCGAGTTTTGTGATCATTTACACACATTTCCTAACCCATCTTACCGAATCACCGTTAGGAATAAGGTGTCAGTGAGCTTGTAACCTTTGAATCTTCACGTCTTGTTGCAGGTTCTTGGAGTTGAAGCTGTCCGGAAGGCAGTGGAGCGTGAAATGAATCACGTGATCTCATTTGACGGTTCATACGTGAATTACCGTCACTTGGCTTTGTTGTGTGACATCATGACGTGTCGAGGACATCTCATGGCCATTACAAGACACGGCATTAACCGACAAGAGGTTGGCGCGCTCATGAGATGCTCTTTTGAAGAAACGGTAAGCTCAATTCGATCAACATGTAAGATCTCGTTACCGGTCTGTTTACATTTCCTTTGGCACTGTTGGGAGAATTAAATTCTTCAAGATGTTTATCTTTTGGCGACTTTTTGCTTTATTTTGTGGGATCCGATGTGGAAAAATGAGCTTTGTTTACTGTAACGGATAGGGCTGAAACCCTTCAAGGGTCTTTTTTTTTGTTTATGTTTCCCGGAAGTTACACAGAGCAAATTTGTTAGAAGGTTCTTAGGTTCCTACAAGCCAAAGGCTATTTTCAGGCAGAATGACTAGAAGTGTTCGTCAGATTTTCGCGTTTCGTTTTGCAAAATTCTGACGCTATCATCTGGACATTGGCAACATTTGAGAGCCTATTAAGTCTTGGACAATAAACATTTGTAGTCATTTCTTCAACATCTCACTTGTATTTAAATCGTCAAAACAAAAGGCAAGGCTAAATACCTGCAATTAACCTCCTTTAGGCCGTTCTCTCAAATCTGCAATATTTCTGTTTCGTTTATATTGAGCCCTTTATTAACAATTTCTTTGTTGGCTTAGGTCGATGTGCTGATGGAGGCTGCTCAACACGCGGAAGTAGATCATCTGCGCGGTGTCAGTGAGTGCTTGATCCTTGGAAAACTTCCTCGGATAGGCACAGGCAGCTTCGATCTCATGTTAGATGCAGAGAAATGCAAGTCTGGTATGGAGATCCCTACTAACATAATGGGCCCAGGAATGATGGGTGGACCCATGACAGGTGACATGAACAAGCTAGCCTTTTGAAGTTGACTCAATTCGTGTATGCTTTTCCAAACTTACTTTTACTCAATTCACTGTTTGTATCGTTCCTCAGGTACGGGAATGTTCTTTGGTGTAGCAGGATCTCCTACTGCCAAGTCACCTCAAATGACACCATGGACCATGGGAGCCACACCCGCTTATACAGAGGCTTGGAGTCCCGGACTCGGCAGTGGAATGACACCAGGAGCTGCTGGTTTCTCGCCTGCAGCTTCAGAAGCCAGCGGGTTTAGCCCTGGAGGGTACAGCCCAGCTTGGAGCCCGCAGCCACAATCACCTTCGTCCCCGGGCCCCAGCAGCCCGTACATCCCCAGTCCAGCGGCAGCGAGTCCGAACTACTCACCAGCAAGCCCGGCGTTTATGCCAAGCTCGCCCTCCATGTCACCTGCCAGTCCCTCGTATTCTCCGACTTCACCTGGCTATTCTCCCAGTTCCCCATCAACTGGGTACTCGCCAGCAAGTCCAAGTTACTCGCCGACTTCTCCATCGTACTCGCCGACCTCGCCGTCGTACTCGCCAACGTCTCCATCCTACAGTCCCACTTCTCCTTCTTATTCTCCTACATCTCCTTCTTACAGCCCTTCGTCGCCATCTTACTCACCCACCTCTCCATCTTACTCTCCTAGCTCTCCGTCATATTCTCCCACTTCTCCCTCATATTCCCCCACCTCACCTTCATATTCCCCCACTTCTCCTTCCTATTCACCAACATCCCCGTCATATTCGCCCACATCTCCCAGCTACAGTCCAACATCCCCTTCGTACTCTCCCACATCCCCGTCTTATTCTCCCACCTCTCCGTCCTATTCACCTTCATCACCATCCTATTCCCCCACTTCTCCAAGCTACTCTCCGCAGTCACCATCTTATTCCCCTAGTTCCCCCTCGTATTCCCCATCATCTCCCAAGTATTCTCCCACTTCTCCCAGCTACTCTCCCACTTCACCAAAGTACAGCCCTACATCACCAACCTACTCGCCTTCCTCTCCATCTTATTCTCCTTCTTCTCCAAAGTATTCTCCTTCCTCTCTATCTTACACTCCTTCTTCTCCAACCTACTCTCCCACCTCTCCAACTTACTCGCCGTCCTCTCCTCGCTATTCTCCTACCTCACCTCAGTATAGCCCTTCCTCGCCTCAGTACTCGCCGTCATCGCCCAAGTACAGCCCCAGCTCACCTCATTACTCGCCATCTTCGCCATCAACGGCACCATTTACACCAGCATCAGCGCAGTATAGTCCAAGCTCACCTAAATACAGTCCGGCTGGCAGTGGACCTTCACCGTCTCCTCAGTATTCACCATCATCGCCACATTACTCCCCGCAATAAAGCATGGTTTAATCAAACTCGCAGAGTTTAAAGTGGTGTTTGCCAGGAGTGAACAGTAGTGAAACATGCACTAATATGCACTGGATAAAAGCCTTGCAGGTGCGAGTAGATTGACAACTGATTTTCTCATTCAACTGCTCGGCACACACAGGGGAGAAGTCTTGTAACTGCAAGCATTGAGACTATTGAAACACGCCTCGTGTCTATGCGAGGATGTGAGCCAATGCTTGAATGACTGAGGAGACTTATCAGTGTACACTGCGATAACTGTCTTATATTTTATAAGTTTAGCTGATTTAACCTTAAACTAACGACGAATCGAATTTATAAGTGACGTCGATTTGAATTTGGAATTTCTTCACGAAATTTGTTTAATGTGTGGGAAGCTTATACTTTTTTACACGATTATCTCATCGTCGAGCGTGAGGTAGCGACTGCATGGAAGTGTTTTTGTCAGTTAGCCAACGCTTATGTTTGAAGTTTAAAAAATTTCTTGGGATTGAATCACCGCTGATGTAAAAAAAAAAAACCGTTTAAAACACAATAACCAAGTAGGCACACCAAAACATAATTGCAAGCAACATGGTGTACACATCATAAAGTAAACCCCGCCCCCCTCCCCCAAGGAGGGGAACAAAAACAAAAACCGAACAAACAAATCAATGTCATTACAGTACGTTTTGTCACATTGGTTTTTAGGGACGAAAATAGCTCATATCACTTGTAGAAAAAAAAAAGAAAAAAAAATAGCAATGAAAGATTGTCATACCGTTAGTACGTAGTTGTTTGTGATTATTTGAACAAATCCTTGTCATACTTCGTCAAGTAAATTTTATATTGGAATAAGTGCAACTTACTGATTGTATTGTAGCAAAATTAAAGTAAGATTTTGTTGGTTACTTAAAGAGGATTTTTGTTTTAAGAAGCTATTGTAGCCAAAAATTTCGAATAGTAAAAAGCACCAAACAAAGACACAAAGAAAAAAATATTAAAAAAATCTTTGACATAGATTAACTGCAAAAGGTGTTTTATTATTTAAAAAAATTTGGCAGAAATTAACTCTGCGTTTCTGACCAAAAATCGTGGATTCCATCAGTTAAAAAGTCTAGTTTTCTAGCAGCACGTTTGAAAACCATAAATTACAGGGTTGTAGAATTTAGACTTAACGTAAGGACCGCAAAGTAAAGGCTTTCAACAGCTTTTATACCGTAACAGACGGAATCTTGTTCATATTCAATGCTGTGGGCAGAAATTTCAGTCGATGGAATTGTACTTTTCGTTTCTTATCCTGATCAATCCAACACCTCCCTCCCCAACCCACCCACCCCCCCCCCCGACTACCCCCGCCAAAAAAAGTAATGACAGATTATGTTTCTGTTTGAAACCAAGCAACCAAGAAAGAACAGCTCGTGTTTGAACTGTTGATGGCCTTTACATTTGAATTTTGCATATTATACATGTAAATATCAAAGATTTTGCCCACTCCATAGTGCGAAAACCTTCCTCCAGCCCCGTTCTTAGCGGAAATGAGGTTCTTCGATGAGACGAGGGACGAATTTCGCCCACTACCCAACCCTTGGAGGGCAAGGTTAAAGGGAGAGGACGAAATCTTTGGTGCATGCTTGCGACAGTTTAGCGAAATATGAATTTAAAGTATTTGAAAAATCAGTTTGATTTTGCTTAAGTATACCTTATCGTAGTCCATGAAGTTCAGTGTAAAACAGTAATATTAATAAACTTTATTTGCTGTTCTGTAGTGAAAATAAAACCTTAAAAAACAACGAAGTTGAATTTACTTTTTAAACCACCGAACAGCAAGGGAGTGAAGGAATCTAACTGCCATTTAACGCTTTAATAAGCCCAAGTGGACAAAGTACAAGAAAACAATCCCCCGACTAACTTCTTAAGTCGATCCCCCTAACCCGCTTGTTCGGTTAACGGGACAGGACGTCCCCTTTACCCGGTTAATTGTTCGGTAGGCTAGTTCTTGACTCATTCAGACAGCTTGATGACAAACGCGCGAAGATTTTCTTTCTAATCTTAGACAAGCAAGAATATAAATATTGAACGATCTTTGAGTACGTAACGGCTGTATCAATTCCAACTTGCCCCCAGGGATGTGTCGGACATTTGGCATCATTCTGCCTGGCAGCCCTAAAACAGATCAGCCCGAACATCTTTCATTGAGGAATTTTAAATTTCCTGAGTGCCTTCAGTACAATACGTTTAAGGTCATTCCGCTGAAATAGAACCTGCACTGAGATTTTTGTGAAACGTTGCCTATCGATTGTTTATATTATAGGAACTTAAATTTTGAAATAAAAAAGAGGGGTCCCCATGTTCGTTTAGGAGCAAAAGCACCTTGTTTATACCCATATAAATCCTTATAATAGCACCATGATTGTAGTTACGATTGCTTGCTAAATTCACGTTTCCGACGATTGCCTTTTGCTCTATACTGAGAATTGGTCCATATTTATTTTACACAGAGAAATTTATTACTCAGTTCAAAACAACAGAAAAAAAAATGATAAGTCACCATACTCGTTTGCGAGAAAATGACGGTTTACCTGTATGGCGAGGTCCAGCTGCAAAGAAAAAGCCGCCATTTTTAATGCGCGCGCGCTAATCACGCGTGAAATTATGCGCAGTAGGGATGC